GTCACAGATTGAGATCCCGGATCTGGGCATGTTTTATAAGATCCGGGCATGGCATGACAGAAGGAGTCCTGGCTCTGGCTGGCATTTAGAAAAGGTGAGTGTGATTTGCCATCTTGGAAGTGAGAGGCGGTTGGGAGAGGAACCGGAACGGTCCATTTCGAACGACCCTGCCACGTAAGTTTGCCGTGGAATTGAATGGGAGTAGGGACAGAGAAGAGGCATGGCGAGGCCTGAATTTGGATATAGGACAGGACTTCCAACATTGTCTGAGGAAAGGCTCAGGAAAAGCTTTGCATTTGCCCCCAGACACCTGGCTGCTACCCAAGGGTGGGTGCCCAGGAGAGCAGGGAGACCATGTTGACCTGGCACCATCTCCAGAGGGTGGCCTTGGCCCTTGCTGAATGGGGGCTCAGGGCCTGTAGGGATCCCTCTGGTCCACCCCCTTGCTCACCCCGGAACTCCTTCCAGATGACCTTGATGAACACTCTGACCAAGGACAAGTATAACTTCAACTGCAATCGCTGGCTGGACGCCAACGAGGACGACAATGACATCGTGCGGGAAATGACCGCCGAGGGTCCAACGGTGCGGAGGATAATGGGCAGTAAGTCCTGACCAGCTGTCCGTCCTGGGGAGAGCCCTGCAGTGGCGCTCCTTTCTCCCGGTCTATCTAGTTTGTTGGTATTGTTGGTGAGCACACAGCAGACCGCACCTGAACGCAGCGGCGTCTGCTCACGCCGTTCCGCAGCGGCGACCGATCGCGTTCTTCAAGGCGTGCGCCGATCTCACCTTTCCCCAAGTGTCCCTGCCCCACCACGTAGCCTCACCGCTTCCTTTATTTCTCATCTGGCACGTGGAGGGGCTTCCATCCGTGTGAGCTCACACTGATAGATCTTAAAAGAACATAACGCTCAAGGCAGACGAACGTTCCTATTCGGTAAGCTGAACAATTGTTTGGTTTCAGGGGATACTTTTGGTTTAAGTTTAATGATGACCTCAGGCAATAGTTTCAAGGGTTTCATTCTACTTTCATGGCTCCAAGAAGTCTCGGGTCCATGAACACGAGGAACCCCGTTCTACGTTTCCCTCCCGGTGATCAGGATTCTTCGATGGAATCTTGGATCAAAATGGTCAGTAACGGAGGCCAGGCATCCCCCAGTTCCGCTGGTCTCAAGACCAGGGAGGCAGTCGTTGATGGAGGCCGTTGGCGAACAGACACCACATCCTTGTTCTGTTCCTGACTCTCTTTCCTCCTCATGGGTTCCAGGTTCACAGAGACCCATGGTGCCTGGGGCGGCCACTTGAAAGCTGTTAACGCCCGTGAACTACACAATGAACAAGGAGGTAGAATAGAAACGCTGAACCTCGGATCAGGCCCAGTCACTGGGAGGGCCTATGAGACCTGGGCTCTAACCTCTGAACCAAGGAACCATCTCCCGTGGGGTTTTCCGGTCTACAGAACCACCTTCAGCAGCGGCTCTTTTTCTGTTTGGTTGTAAATGTTTCTACACACAACTGTTCTGGATCAACTTTTTTTTACACGTGTGCAATTATACTGGCCACAATGACAGTAATTGATTGTGCAACCCTCTCCTAAATCAATGGGACATTTCTGTCATCAATCACCCCTCCTAGTTCTTTCCCTGCTGCCCCTGGTGACTGCTTTGTTCTCTACATGCTTGGTTTTTGGTGTGTCTTTCTGTCTAAGTGAGGTCAGACAATATTTGTGATTGACGAGTGCTTCCATAATGTATTCCAGCTTCGTTCATATTACACAGTCTGTAGCAAGACCTCCTTTCTTCTCCTGGCTGAATCTATCGTGACATCCTTACCTGGTGAGCCCATGGGACATGGGTCCACGGCTTGGTACTTTTACCCACTAGGTTTAGAAGGCCCTCATCCTCAAGCTTACCCCAGAGCTCTGCAGGAGAAAGGCCTGGTGATCTGCCCTGCCAAGATGCCAGTGTAAAACCCTGTGAGGCAGCGCTACGCTGTCACCCGGGGTCACTGCGAGTCAGCCTCTCCCCAGCCCCTACCAACAGCGTTCCAGACAGCGTGCGATATGTGAGCGCCTCATAGCTGTGATTTCACTTCTGTCTTCCCTGCTACCATTCAAGAGCCATTCGACGAGGAAACAGGATGAATGAACCGCAGGATGGAAGCGCCGTGTCTCCTGGCACACAGGCTAGCAGGCAGCCTGGCGCCTTCTGGAGCTCCTTGGCAGTACGTTGGCTCCTGTCTCCATTCTAATGCCCTCTCGTAACCGCTCTCTCTGGCCCACGTGCATATCTCTTGTGCTTGGAGCACACCCAGCTCCTCGCTTGCTCGCTCTGCAAGAGCTCAGGCCCGGACTCTGGTCTGGAAGCGTCTTTCCAACAGTGGACAGAGCTGGGTGCTGGTGGGAGCGAGCGCGCACTTCCCTGGTGGCATCAGGATAGAAAGAATCATATGCAGGGCTTCTGAGAAAGTTCAGAAGTGGAAAGTCTTGGGCGTGGGTAAAATGAGTAAGTCCCAATTTTACAAGCAGTTCCCTGGATTTGAAATGGTGCGTCCCTGGTTTCCTTACTGTCAGGCTGGCCAAGGAAGGGATGCATGCAGAGTGGAGAGGCTTTGGGGAGGGGTGCACAGTTAACTGTTGCTATGTAGCCCGCCTTTCCTCCAGGAGTTACATGAGACAGGAAAACAAGGATGCAGCATCCCGTACCCCCGCCCGCCCCAACGCCCCACTGCAGCCAGTACACAGCTCCGGAAGGACCAGAGCCCCTGGACTGGAGTACTGGAAACAGGAGCTTCTCCTGACTCAGGCTGAGCTGTGATTTTAACATGAGATCACAGGAGGCTCTGAAACGTACTCATTTATTTAGAATCTTTAGCTCCTGATGCCTCACAATATCACCAGCATCATTCTTTTTAATGGTGAATTATTTTTATTAAAAAATCTGAATCTGATTTAGCTTCTATTTCTAAGTACAAAAAAATAACCAAGTCTCCGGCCACGGAGTCGATGCTGATTCGTAGGGACCCTGTAGGATCAGCTAGCACTGCCCCTGTGAGTTTCCGAGACTGTAAATATTTACGGGAGTAGAAAGCCCCGTCTTCCTCCTGTGGAGTGGCTGGTGGTTTCGAACTGCTGACCTTTCTGATCTCAGCCCAACTCATAACCACGACACCTCCAGGGCTCCTCTTCTTAGTACCAGTACATAGTAAATAAAATACTGGGGTTAGTATATGAAGTGGCGCTATGCCATTTGGAATAACTTTAGTGTTTCAAATCCAGGGAGAAATATCATAAAACAACTTTTAAACACAAGGGCTTTAAATGTAAGAGTTTTAAAGCATAACAATATATATTTTCCCCTAGGTACTTCGTAAATATATCGAATTGCCTGCAGATTTATTGCTAGGAAGGACCTTCCCCCACTCCCCCCACCCTGTGGCAGGTTGGCCTAGAGGCCCTCCTGGAGAGGGTTGGGACCCCTGAGAACTTCCAACCAGCTAGACCTCAGGGCTCTAGGACCAGGCAGCTAACCCAGATCCCCTGCTGCCACTCAGAGCAACTCTGCCGGACAGAGCAGAAATGTCCCCGGAGGGTGGGCAGACTGGCCCTCTTTACTGAGGCAGATGGTCGCCTCTTTCTCCCACGGAGGGGCAGAGGTGCAAGCTGGCGACCTTGGAGTGGGTAGACTGGTGCTTTTACCAGGACTCCCCTCTAGAGCAAACCCCCATCAAACCAAACTCATTGCCATCTGGCTGCTTCTGACTCAAGGCAAGGCTAGAGAACCAGGGAGAACTACCCCTTGGCGTTTCCAACTGCTGACTTTGCGGGTAGCAGCCCACGATGCCGCCAGGGCTCTGGGGAAAAAGGGGGACTCTCACCAAATCCAGTTCTCTTCACGTATTACTTTTATAGCCAGAGACATAAATATTAGAAGCAAAAAAAAAGGTGGGGGGACTGGTATTCTCAGTAGAAGGATCTCTGAATTGCTTCATCGTTTTATATCTGGAGGTGCTGCTTGCTGAGGAAACTAAAAACACCCAGCTCGTGGCCTTCAAGTGGCCCGCTGGTTTCTCAGCACCTAAGGCCACCTGCTCAAAGAGCAGGACTCGTCTCCGTCAGAGAACGAGGGAGGCTCTCCCACCCACCGTGTTGCACGTCTCCGTCAGAGAATGAGGGAGGCTCTCCCACCCACCGTGTTGCAC